GCCTAATCTGTAAAACGAGAACATTGGTTCCTATTTCTGTAGTAGCTTTAGTAAGATTCAAGGAATTTGGTGCATAGCCCAGAGGAACTTGGTAAATGTTATTTTTATAATTTGTCCGGGATCTTCTGAAAGTGGGCAAAATATTTTTTTTCCATCCAATACCCTGGCTCTCATCCCTGTTGGCTGAGTAAGCTGGGTTGATATCTGTGTGTTTTCTTCTTTAGGGAAACTCCCTCTGGATCTCACACTCCTAGGTCTTTGGCTACTGTTTTTAGTTGGATGCACCCTTCTAATGAAATAGAAAGCTATTTGACGGCAGCAAAAGGAAAATTCTGTTTTCCAAAGTACCAGTCTGAATACGTGGCAAATATTTGTTGATGCAACTATGTTTAACTCAATAGAATGTTGAGAGATTATTGTGTTGGTCACTGCGGTTACCCCTGGATCAAAGGTAACAAAGGAGGCTAAAATGAATGAGGCAGGGAAATGCTATTTATAACATCCAATAAATGCAAATACCCAGCATGAATTGTTTTCTCTACATCCTTAATCTCCACTGGGGAGATGTTATCATTCCCACTTTCCAAAGGTGGGTGTGAAGATCTCCAAAGGGATTAATAACTCAATGCTCCCCCCAAAAGAATAGGAATTAAGAAAGCAAGGCCAGGTCTTCCTGATGTAGCCCATGCTCTCTCACAAATATCCCTCAGTACACAACTGAAATATAATTACATTTAATCAAATGAGTGGATTAATTAATCCATAGACTATTGTAACAGAAGACAATTTATGGCATGTATTTTAATAGACACAAGGAATTATGGACACTTCAAGGAATAAATAATAGTGACTCAAAGAAGAGTGGCAAAGGACTGATAAACCCAACAGTGGGTTAAGAGAATATAAAGTCAGAGAATGAATTTCAAAGAGAGGCAGTTTCTGAATCTCACCTGCCTTCTAACATAGGAACCTTCCATAGGGTCAGCAGCACAGCCTGAATAGTGATGGGGAGCCCACTGCTCCATTCCATTCCGATATGTCATATCCTTAGAAAGGCTTTCTTTATTTTGACCTTCAAACGACTGCCCTGGAAATGGTTAGTCTAAATTTTACCTTCAAAAGATTAACTGAGTAAACTGGCTAGTTGACTGAAGGTCTGTAATCCCTAAAAGGGTACTGTAAATTTCAGATAGTTTTAGTATCTCTATCTCTTCTTCAGGTCATTGCATAAAAGGGAAGGTGCCAGTCTGAGAAGGAGAAAATGTGCTTTGTTGGAAATGTTAGTGGTGAGAGAAGGAGGAGAGATAGCTGCATCCCTCTTTGGCAGCCTTTGGTGTAAAGTATTAGAGAAATGCAAAATATGGAAACAAAATAAGAACAAGACAAGATCTTTGCAAGCCCTTAAACTATTTTTGAGGTTCCCAGAAGATAGATAACTTGATTGTTTCAATTTATTTCCATTTTTGTTCTATCTCAGGAACTCCTCATTCCAGCTGGACCAGGAAGGTAAATGGCCAAAATATCCAAAGAATGTCTCTTGTTATAGGATGTTCAGTCCAACTTACAAAACTAGAAAGTTTTGATATTCCTGATACTGTTTGCATATGAGACCCAATGTTTAGGATTAGCTTTACTCTAACCAATCTTGGGAATCCTGTTTGATAAGAATGGGTAAGAAGGACTGAAACCACAGGAGGTAGTAGACTTTCGCAAAATAAAAATAAATTTGAATCAGCATTCTGGGCTTCTATGGCACAAAGTGCTACCTGTTAGGCACTGAGGATGAAAATTTACTGTAAAAAGGCTGCACATCTAGATAGAATTGTCATGCCTCCATCTTGCATAGTGACTGAGGTAAGGTCTAGGTTTTATACTTCATTGGTTTATTTTCTAAGCTCTAGCACAAATTTAGCCACAAATCTGCAATAAATACTTGCATTTATCATTTTTCAAGTAAGAAAAATAGAGCGGGGTCAAATGGAAAACAGAAAAAATGGGAGCCACTGTTGTCACTTTACCATTCTGAAAATTAAAGAAGTGTCCCAGTTAAACAAAGGGACCATTGGGTAGAATCAGTGTGACAGGGCAGCCCAGAATGAAAAATGCCAGTAGTGATTATGAATCTTTTCCAGGAAGATGGCAGCACCTTAGGTTTGCCTCATCATGACCTCCAGAACTCTCTGTCCATGTGGGACTCTCATTTGCTTTGCATTTGAAAAGTAAAGTTTCAAGTAAAGTTTCAGACATGAAGCTACTTCCCGCTTTTTCATAACTCTTAGCCTAGGCCAGAAGCATGGTGGTCCTCATATTCTCCAAGGAAGATAACACCTTGGCTCTCACCTTGGCTGTAAGGTGTGTGAAAGTGGCTGGTGGGCTTTATCTGCTTCAGTCACTCTTTGGAATTGACATCCTCTGTGGCCCACTCATGTATGAATATGTGTGTGTGTGTGTGTGTGTGTGTGTGTGTGTGTGTGTGTGTTAGAAAGAGAGAGAAGAGATACAGAAGACACAGACAGACACAAAGAGATAGTAAGAAAGAGAATTTTACTGGAGAAAATCATGGGCACATTGTGTTCATTGTCATGTTACTCTTAAACCAGATTTCTGAGGACCTCCCAGTTCCTTCAGTTGCTTCTTTCATGCTGCTAACACTCTCACCCTGAAGGGTGAAAATTAACTACCAGTCTCTTCTAATCACTTTGCAGGCAATGATGGCCAGAATCATGCTTTATTCTTCCTCTCTGCTGTCAGAATGGAGCTAAATTTCTACTTCAGATATTGCCTTTACCTGGATCTGCACAGGCTGCACGACGTGTGTGTGTGTGTGTGTGTGTGTGTGTGTGTGTGTGTGTGTGAAAATGTCTGACAGCATCTGCATGCATGTGACTGTGTGTGTGAGAGTGTATGCATGTGAGTGGGTGTTTGTACATATGTATGAGTTAATGCACATGTGTGTGTTCATGCATGTGCATGATGGTAAGGAAATAAATTCAAGACATTTGCTTCCCTGCAAGGAATCCAGGAGACTTTGGTTGTGCCCTCCAGGCTGCCCTCTGTGGTCCCTCCCTTGCTCCCTGGACCTAGGCTCCGCACATATCCCACCCTTGACCCTGTATTCTCCAGTGAGCTGATCTCATTATGGTAAATTTAGTTACAGCTGAAGTCTCCTTGTAACAAAGATTATGTCCAAGCCCAGAGTAATGGAACCTAGTCGATTTCATTAAAATAAAATTGGTTACAATGAATAATTCAATAGGATGATTTTGTTTCCTCATCTCCTCTTTGTAGATTGAACAGCTAGTATTTATAATGATTTTTTAAAATTGGATTTTTGTTTAGGAAGAGATAATCACCCATAATTCCTGACAGCCCTCTCCTTACAGGATTGGAAAAACTGCTCTATGAAGCCTTTTTTCAAATGCAAAAACTAGAAAATTCTCCTTTTTATTCACAACAGTAGCAATAAACTTTGGATGATGTTTAAGCACAGTTACTCCCTTCACTTTCAGTCATGTGAGGTGCTGTGTATATTCTTAATACTCTAATTTGAGCAATGTTTTTTAAACATTACTGAATGTTGGTGTTGAATTTGAAACTGTTGTACATTCTGTGTAACAGAGAAGCCATGTCTGTGCATGTAGAAATATGTGTGTGTGTATGCACGCGTGTGTGTGCACGCTCATGTGTATCTTCAGTTCAGGATCCTGACATATCCTAAGTATCTGATCTTATTTAGATCCTGTCCTTAAAGATGAAGGGACAAAGAGGAATGAAACTTGAATATATTCTCAAAAAACTAATGGCCTAGTGGGGGAGCCAGGTGGACAAACAAATGTTTAGAGTTTAATGTGACAGGTAAGCATGAGGATGAGTTCACAAAGTCTGGAGATGGTAGGGGAAGAAGATGAATTCTGTTCTCTTATTCTTGCAAGTATCATTCATTCATTCATTCATTCATTCATTCAGGTGGTGGTAAACAAGAGAGGCACCAGGAAACATGATGTTTCCATTTCTTTACACATTCTGCAGGGAGTTCGGAAATGAAGCTCTGATGAAATTTATGAGCGTTCTAATAAATGAAGTCATCCTTCCCTATACTGTACCCAGTGATTATTCACTGAGTCCGAGCAGACAATTAGATTTTTCTTCATCTAGAAACCAGGCCTACTCTACTGCACCTGAATTGAGGGAGCAATATTAAGAGAGGACTGTCCAGCAAACACAGTTCCTCTGCAAGGCAAGAAGGCAGGTTGGCCTTAGAAATGACCACTAGGTTGGGCAGTCAGAAGCACTGAGTCACAACTCTGGGAAATAGAAGTCTCGGAAGAAGACAGGTGCTTACTCTGCAGGATAATTGGAACGGCGGCTCTGGGGACAGCAAAGCCATGCCTAGAATCATACAAGCTCTAGTGGCCCCGAAACTCTCACTGCCTCAACTAGGTTGTGAGTCTCCTGGGAGAGAAACATGGCACATAAATAGAGCATAAGGGGACTGAGGAATGACTCATAGCTTCTTAAAACTGAGAAAGTCCTTGGAGATCACCACCCTCAACTAGTTATTATTTTAAAGATGGGAAGATGGGGCCCAAATAGGTGGGAGGACTACTCCAAAACCATGCAGTGGATTCACAATAGAATTGTCATGAATGCATGAAGCATACAACTGGGCATCCTCAATATAAAAAAAAAAAAGGAAGACTTCCTAGATTAATTTGTTCTCACCTCTATTGAATTCTAGTGATACAGCCGAAATGGAATCCTTTCCTACATATGAATTACCAGGTAGGGAAATGGGAAGACAGATATCACCCCTGTGATGCTAATGGCTCCTCCACTAGGCCGTTGCCTGTGTAACCCTTTATAAACACTGACACTGCATTTGGTTAAAGATGTGTTCAAGTGGCCACATCCTATGGCATTGCAAGTGAACTGAGGAACTTAAGGGGCACAGCAAAGATCAGAACATCAGCAAGAAGTGTTGCACAAAGCCAGAACCTTACCTGGGATGCTGCCGGCTGCCCGATGATGACCCAGCCTGGGCATTGCTGGTCTTGATGGGACACTGAAGCATTGGATGCCCACTGATCCAGGAATCCTTGGGGTGTGTAGACACCACAGTCTTTAATACTAGTCTGTTGTTCAAATTCTTCGCATACTCCATCTCCATCATGAAAATAGCAACGGCTGGGTTCATCTACAAGAGAGGAACAGAGAAAGAGAGAGACAGAGAGAGACAGAGAGAGAGACAGAGAGTTGATGAATACTTGTTTCTTGGCCTTCAGCATCATTAGCAGCTATGAGATTTGATCACCAAATCCACCAGCCTTGTCAAACTCATCCTCATTAGTCACAACGGAATATTCATTAGCCTTTTTTTAAAAAAGGGAAACCATGTCATATGGAATGACATGGGTAGACATCATACAAATAAAAATAAGCCAGTTACAGAAGAACAAATCCTGCATGGTTCCACTTAGGCAATGTATCTAAAGTTATGAAACTCACAGATCATGAAAGTAAAGTGAAGTTTCCCAGACTCTGAAGGGAGGGAAAATGAGCATTAACTGTTCAATAGTTGTAATTATACACAAAGAAAAAGCTCTAAATAACTGCTATACAACATTATGCTTATAATTAACTACATTATACTATAAACTTAAAATATGTTAAGAATTTTTTTGCCACATACATACACAAAAGTTCACAAACATATCCATCTTCATTACCCCCAAGTGAGCCTCAAAACCTTCTCAAGAGGAAGGTATCATCATTACTTTAATTACTATTTTAATCTCCACTTGAGACGCCACACAGTTGTAATAACTTGAGAAGGTCGCACAGTATATTTATGTCAGACCTGGGATCAGAGTTCAGACCTTCACTTTCCAACAATGAGTACATTACGAACATCACAGAACTTTGTAGCTGTAAACCTGGGCTCATACAACTCCAAAGATAATGCCAGTTTTGCATAAAAAAAAAATGAACTGGATTCAGTACCAATTCTGAAATTCCCTTTTTTTAAAACCAGGAATTGAACTCATGACCTCATGTTTGCCAAGCAGGCCCTTACGCAACTGAGCTAAATCCTTGGCCCTAGTTCTGAAATTTCATTGATCATGGTAGACAAGTCTTTTTCTGTCTCTGGACCCAGTCTTCAGATCAGAGAAAGGGATTAGAATACTGACATAGAGCAACACATGCAGAAACCTACATATGGTCACCTGAAAAAGATTACTCTGTATTCTTTCTGTAACTTTAATAGCAGCTCTTCTAAACTATTTTATCAACTCTTCTATGCAAAGCTAACTACTCCCCACTGTATGTGAGTGCCTATTTCACTACGATCACCACCTTAACACTTACCATACGATACTGTTATTAGAGCTGCAGCTGTCTGGAAGGATTCAGGATTCCTTGAAAGGTAGTACCTATTCAAGGATTATCCTAGGATTATCATATAATTTGTCATCCAAATCGGAGAGTACTTTGAAAATGATGGCAGTGCTATAAAAATTATATCCAGGTAATAGTTGTATAACCGGGGAAAATCTCAGTGTCTCCGGTAAATCACTGCACAGATATCGCTTGATTTAGGTCACCCTTCTCAAACTTGCTATAGAATAGTAGAGTGGCACTCTGGAGAAGATATTGATTGTAAGACCAAAGACTTGGTTTGATTTCTGTTCTTTGTACTCTCTGTAACACTAAAAACTAACCTTGTTTCTCAGCCACTAGATCTTCACCTGTAACATGGACAAGACAGTTCCAGCCTGGACAGTTTCTCAGGGTAACCACAGAACTCTCATCGGAAATGAACATAAACATGCTTTGTACATTCTAAAATAATTGTCAATTTTTTAAAAAAAAAATATTCTTCTTCTAAGGAGTTGATTTATTCCCAAGTAATTGAGTTAAATCAAGTTGTGAAATCAGTACTCACTTGAAACACTATCAAGCAACATTTTCCCAACTAGAAATAGCCCAGGTCAAGGAGAAATAAGACTTGAATTTCTTTGATGCTGACTATTTGAAAAAGGAGTTATTGAATTCAGGGACAGCAAAATGTTGAGCCCCTTCCAAGCTCTAAAATCCCTTGTTTATTTCTGCAAACAGTTTACATAGTGAAATACTACCAAAAGAGCCAGAATAAATCAATCCATTATAATTCAATTATTTAAAGATGGGTTTGAGCCAGCTGAGGACTCCAGTGACCAGTAGCGTGCAGGGCAGTTCAGGCAGGGAAAAAAATACAGGTTCAGAGCTTCTCAGAAGCTCCCACCCCTCGATGATTGTGGCCAAACTAGATATAATAAAACACAATCCAATAGTGATCAGCTGTTAATCTAAACTTGCTCTCTAAAATTCAGTAAAGGGGACTGCAGAGTAAGGATTCTGACATATAGCAAAGGTAAGGCCAATCCCCATCTCTACCACACATAAACACTGTAGGGCTGAAATAAGCTAATCACTCTGAACTGCCCTAACCCACAAAAAATGGAAGCAGTCATATTTACTCAGTGTCGTCACGGTGATTTTGTGACATGCCCCGGACAATGCCAGCCCCTTCACTCATTCCATCTACTAGAAAACTGAGAGCTAGAGGAGGTAGAGTATCTGCCTCCAGGTCATACAGAGAAAGTTGGAACCAAAGCTAGAAGTCTGAGCCTGACTTTTCGCAACTAGCAGAACAGATCCTTTTTATACTTGTGTGAGTCCCTCCCTGCATTATCATTAAGGATAAGATAATCAAGTTGCCACATTTTCCTCCTCCAATACAAAGACAAATAGGGTGGGATTATAGTAAGATTATATAAAATCTATCCCCTATTCTCTAATGTGTCTTAATTAATTTCTTCAGCAAAGATACCTCCCACAGTAGGAAAAAAAAGAGAAGAAAGAAAAGAAAAGAAAAAACAGAACTAGAAATGAATTCTCAAGAAGGCTAATTTCCTCTTGATTGTGTTTAAGATTGCAACAAATCTAACTGCTTGGAATCAGCAGAACCTAAGAATGGAGAGAGTCAGACATAGGTAGAAAAACAGATGCATAAGTGACTACATAGATAGGAAAAGACAGTGAAGAGCAGAGCAGGGTGGGAACAGAAAGAGAGGGGGAGAGTGAGAGAGAGAAAGAGAGAGAGAGAGAGAGAGAGAGAGAGAGAGAGAGAGAGAGAGAGAGAGAGAATAACAATATGTATGTCTGGTTTTTTCTAGATTCTGCTGACAAAGCTATTGTGCATCTCTTTTAAAAATAACATCCTTCGACTCTGCTATTCAGCTTCTCTTGCTACTAGTGTCCCAGGAGCCCTTCGGCTCCATCTGCCAGTCTTTGTCTAGGGAATTCGCTATCCCTTCTCTACTCCCTCTGCCCCAAGCACTGAACAGAACAGAGTAAGGAATGGAATACAAATGTGCAGCCAGGAAAAACAAAGACAGCAACAATAAAACAAAACTGGCCTTGTTTCCATTACATTAATTTACTTGATGCTCCTTGAATGCTTTATGTCAGGTGCTGAGCAGGTTGTAATAAAGAATCTGAAGTCAACCCCAAGGTCAAATGATCAGCCTGGCACCCTGGCTTCCTTATAGTGTTAGTTGGCTTTGATGATAATATACACTGAGAGCAACATTGTGCAGACTATAGGCACACACACACACACACACACACACACACACACACACACACATCTGAAAATCCTAACAAAGTTTCAAAACCTAGCTGGTGAGTGAGGGATAAACTTCAGAATCCCTGGTTTACACACTTCTATACAAACATGGTTTCCATTCTGCATCCCTTGAAAACTTCCTTTAAATTATGGTTTGGTGGAATAAAAGGAGATGAGATACCAATAGGGACTGCCTCACAATGGACTTGCTCTGGGCACTCCAATCTCTAAATCTCACCTCATCTTCTCTTAGCAAAAGGCAATTCCACATTTAAGATTAACATTTTGCATGTGGCGACACATTCAGAAAGCTGTCCTATCCAGCTAGCACACTTGATGAAGGTAGACCAGGCATGACTAACAAAGTCCATCTCCATTTGTTGTGTTTTCTCATGTGAGAAAGTTTCTTTTCTTAAGGAAGAAAAGAGCTCATCCAAGGAGTCCAGAATAGAGAGGTTTGCTGTAAGTGGACAGACATAGCTAATGCAGCCCTCATTGACTTAATTTTCAATTTTTATCTGTCAGGAGCATGCATATGCAATGCCATGTCCCTGCACTTTAAAGGTACATAAAAAGGACACTATTTGTGGTAGTTAGACACAGTTGTCTACCTTAGAAAGCTTGGATGGCCAGATCCAAGGACATGGGGACAAGTTTCCTTAAAGAATAGCAAAGGTTGGAGTTTGCACTAAGGTTAAAAAGACTTCTTAACCTTAAACAAACAAACAGACAAATAATTCAAGCATTGATCTTGTTTTCCTCAATGGCTAATCTTAAATATCATAGTTTATCTTGCTGTACCTCAGTTTGACCATATATGAAATGTGAATAAAGTTATCTTTTAGACTTTCTCGGTGAAGTACTGGGTATCATCAAATAGTATAATAATCCAAGAGACACAAAAATAAAACTGGTCTGAAAGACACAAGATCTATCCTTAACAATGAGGAGGTTGAGATGAAACAGGGGCTGCAGGAGTCTTCTTACTCAGAGACTCAGAGGATACAAAAGATCAAAGAAGGTACATGGGCTATTTTCAATATAAATGGCAAGCAAATGAACAGAGAAGTGGAGGGAAAGCAATAACCAAAAAAGAAGATTATATTTATACTAAAACAATTCCATTGCAATATGCAGATACTAATTAACTTAGCTTGATGCAAAACTTTGGTAATTAAAAAAAAAAAAAAAAAACAAACTTTGGTAATTCTTGATGTCCCTAGGATACTTTAGATGGGAGAAACAGCTGAACAGTTCATAGCTAGAAAAGAGAGGTGGAACTTAAGTTAATTTTAAATTAAGCTCTTTTTATCTACTTATGGGTCAGTCTCACATAACAGATAAAAATTTTTGAGTCTTTCAAATCTGTACTTTTAACTAATAATATAGTGCCTAGAGTGAAGGTATCATTAAATAGCCAAGGAATACATGAATTGGTGAGTGACATAAAATATTAAAATATTTGCATTTATGGTTTACACAAATAAACTTGCCTTCATATTGACTCCTATCAATTTAAGGTCCCA